TGGAATGCTTTTACCTAGACATTGATTTAGCTCACATTGCAGTGACTGGCATGATATAAAGCTAGAGGGAGAGAAAATAAAGATTAATAATGAGGATCATTTTCCTTTGCAAGTAATCTAGTCATTCTGTCTTTAATTAACATTGCATTGAAATTCTTTGTCTGTTGTTTTCAAGCATTCTTGAAAATTTTGCAGGGCCTAAGAAGGAACTGTAGGTACTCTTACCTTTAACATTTTATGGAAAGTTTCATTTTAAAAAGCATTCAAAGCACTTATGAAATAGAACACTGGCCACAATAATTGACAGGTTATTTTTTCCTCTCCTCAGAGAATGGTAAAAAAGAAACAAGAAGAAAAATGTAAACAAAAAAAAAAAAAGAAAAAAAAATGTTCAAACAGCTCTCGGAATTTAAAAGACTGTTGAATTGCTAAAAGAATTAAGAGATACTAACCGTAGGAAAAAAAAAGAGAGAAATTTTGTAATCCTATTAAATACATTTAGTTAATTACCATACAGATAATGCATTAGTATTTCCTTGCTGTAATTTATCTTGCCATAAGCACCAAGCAGTGCTAGCTCTTTAAGAGGGAGAGATTATTCCCTGATGCAAAGAGAGCTGGTTCTGATATCATGTTTATAAGTAACACAGAAATTTCTCAGCAGTCCCCTTGGTCCAGTTATTGCTTTCTGCTCTCAGTGCTCCAGCTTCTTTTGTGTACCCACTTCTCAGAGTTAGGCCGGGTCTGAAGTGCTTTAGAAAGAATTTATACCAGAAAAGAGACAACATGACGTAATGCTACTCTTGTCAGCCTGGTGTTTTTCTTTTATTAAACAGGTGAAAAATGCAGCAGCCAATGTACTCAGGGAAACATGGTTAATTTATAAAAACACAAAGCTGGTTAAAAAGATAGACCATGCGAAAGTAAGGAAACATCAACGCAAATTCTTGCAAGCTATTCATCAGTAAGTACTATTTTGCTTTGATTTTCCTCCCCAGATGTTTTCTCTCTTAGTTTGCCTGTCCCTCAAAGGCACCCTTAGTCCCTGTGTCTCATCCTGCCCCCTCCCTTCTCACCCCACCCCATTCGTAGAACGTTGCTCTTGAGGTTGATTTTTCTCTGAGAGTAAGAGAGCATTTTACTGTATTACCTGTGTATAAAAAAAAATAAAAAAAAAGTATGCTGGCTCTGTATGTCCAATAAGGGGTAAATGAAACTAACTTGGGTTTTTTTTTTTTGAAGTTTTTCATGCTGCTTGAATCATCTAAGACCTTTTTTTGTCTTTTGCCACTGAGGCAATCCTATCAATCCTATGTTGTTATGTATTAGCTTATGGATAGTAAGATACAACTACAACAGACAAAAGAAAATGAAAAGTTTTGTTTGTAGTAGATGCTTTTTTATTATTTAAAACCAGATTGATGTGATAGAAGAGAGCCTATGAGTATGTATGTAGTGTTTAACGAAAAGAGTATGCATCAAGCATCATTGCAGCACCCAACAGCAATTAGTTGCCTCTCTCCACCATATATTCTCAGTGCATAAAATCAAATATTAGTATGTCAGCTATGATGCCTGACATTCATTCTAGAAAATGGGAGTGTATGCCAACAGTCACTGTGTGACCTTTAAGCACCTCTAGCATGATTCAGATGAGTTCTTCCCCTCTGCTGAAATCTTAAGGGGTTGAAAGCAAGCGTGAGAACTGTAACCAGTAGTAGGATTAAGATGAATTATGATATTGTCAGACTACAAGTATTTGTCTAAAATTCATAATACATGTTTGTCATAAAGCACATGAAAACCAGCAGAATTGCACAATGATTCAGTTACTCTTCCTTGGACTACATGGGAGAAAAAAAAGAGACTTTTGTCCCCAGGAACCACAGATTTTTCTTGAGGAACGGTCAGGACCCATGCCACTATTTGTCTGCTATGTTTGATGTTTCCATCCAGCCTGAGGCAGCCGTTTGTACAGCCTATGAAATTAGTTTCCGTGAGAGATACTGAGGAGATGTAGATAAATTGAGTAAGTTTAATTTTGCACTGATGTTTTGATAACTTTTGAGTGTGAGTCTGTGTCAGAGCCTACCTGTGAGAAGATGTGAGGGAAGCATCCATCATGAAAAGAACACCTATGTGTCATCTTGCAGGAAAGACAGGAAGGAAAGGCCAGGTTTTCATATTTCCTGTTATTAAATTTAGGCTAACCATCATCATTTTTCTGTTTCATAGCAATGCTTTAAAGCAACAAGTAGCTAAGCTTAAGGTATGAAGTATTCTACAAACCTTGATTATATTTAGCAAACTTGCAGGATTAAATGTTACCATGATACTGCAGAAATACTTGAAGGCATAAAAAGGTGACAAAAATTGAGGCATTTTTATGTGGATCTAAAAAATGTGTTTTCCCAGTTTGGTCACCCTGCTTAGCTTAAAAGATTGGGAGGTGAAGAGGAGTGGCAGGGGTTCTGGAATAGGGGATTGCATGTCCTGTGCTTGCTTTGCTGGACTTGAATCCTAGATGACAAAGGTTATTCCTTAACATTTTAACTCTGCTGTTTATTTTGTGTGTGTGTGTGTGTCTGTCTGTGTGTGTGTGCACACATGTTCAGAGAAGAATCTAAAAAGCACAACAGGCTCAGTCTACAGCTTTGTATATCATTCAAGCCCAGAAGAACTTCACAAGATTAAGTGTTCTGCACCTGCCTTAAAAGTTCATTAATCATCTGTGAAGATATGTCAATAATGCATTTCCCACTGTCCTTTAGCACTTCGCATCCCATTCCCAAAACTTCTGCATTTATGCAAAAAAAAAAAGAAAAAGATAATTTTCTCAGTATGTGCCATGGATTGCTCTAGCAGTTTGCTTTCTTCCAGCTGTAGCAGAGTAGATGGGTTAAAATTACTTTTTCTCCCTTTGCATCTTTGAACATTTCTCAAGTGACTCATGGTAGTATATGGTTCTTTTCCATCTCTCTGCATCTTAAGTTTTTATTAGTCCTTCTCCTTCACCTTTCCAACCATTTGACTGGGGACAGAAATAAAAGGAGTGACTTTTCAGGGCCGGATTTATACAGAAACCAGAGAGGATCATGATAACAGTCTCAAACTCACAGTCACAGCTCTAAAACTGCCTTCAGCTGGTCTGGGTCTTTTTTTGATTCTTACACATACTAAATAAGATGAGGGTGAGATGATCACCTAAATGGTACTATTAAAAGGCATTTTACGTACAGTATAAATAAGAAAAATAAGGGAATGTTTGAAGCTATTGTAGGTTCCTTCATCGTGAATGCAGGTGAGTTAGACTCCACTTCAGGCAGTTAGATTGAAAGAAGTAGCAACACCTGCTGAATCGAGCCCACTGTGCACATTTGGTTGTTTTAGTATATTTTACAGTTTGTTTTCTTTTGTTTTGTCTTTTTATTTCAACAAAATGAAAATAGAGCTCGGAAGTAAGTTGTGTGAGCTGTTCCTTTCTAAATTTGCAGAATTTACCACTGTCTGCATGCAAAAAAATAGAGTCTTTATTTGTGAACTTCAGTGGTCTGATTGCTGCCATGGAAACGCGATCCAGAATCATGATCTTTTGCTGTGATAAGTGAAGTTCATAAAATCAAGATGTTTCCTATTTTCTTGTAATGAAAAAAGAACGAAAGTCTGACAGTTTTCTTTAAATCTGGCTGCTGCAGCTAAAGACTTGCCATTACCTGGAGATACATTCTTACACTCTGTGATAGGTCTTGGGTTGGTTACCATGAGAAATTGTTGTGTTGCTGTCAGCTGGTACTTGTATTGCTACAATAACAATGGATTTCTTGGAATTTAAAAGTTAAAACACTAACTGGCAAACAGATGAGTCAATGAATCTTAAGAAAAGCAGAAAACACATGCTCTGCAAATTATTTGAGAGATGTTCACCAAAACACTAGGGTTATCATTCTGCAGTCACGTCATTACATGTTTATCTCTGAGTAATTATTCTGTTCTGCAACTGTAATGATATAACTCCATACCTTGGAGACTCCTCCATATTCTTTGCTTTAGAGTAGCTCCAGCTTACAGCCTCTGAAAGCACCATTCCTACAGTCTGCATTTGTGTTGTGCTCTGAAGGAAGCCTCCAAGGGAAGAAAAGCATATGACATTCCAGTAAGAAGCTGCTGGAATGTTAGTTATTATGTGAACAATTGATTTCTACCTTAACAGAGTTATTTCCATGTGTTTTAAAAGATATTTCACTCTTCGCAACTTTTCTTCTTATGGTGGTTAGCCTGGATATGAAAGGAAATGCTTGGTAACTAAAGATATGAACAGAAGCTTCCTAATTTTGGAATATAGAATCTTAGAATGGTTTGAGTTGGAAGGGACCTGAAGATCATCTAGTTCTGACCCCTCTGCCATGGGCAGGGACACCTTCCACTAGATCAGGTTGCTCAAAGCCCCATCCACGCTGGCTTTCAACACTGCATCCACCACTTCTCTGAGCAACCTGGTCCAGTGCCTCACCACCCTCAGAGTGAAGAATTTCTTTCTTAGCTCCCCTCTTTCAGTTTAAATCCATTACCCCTTGTCCTATCACTACATGCCCTTGTAAAACATCCCTCTCCAGCTTTCCTGTAGGCCCCCTTTAGGTACTGGAAGTCTGCTAGAAGGTCTCCCTGAAGCCTTCTCTTCTGCAGTCTGAACAATCCCAACTCTCTCAGCCTGTCTTCATAGGAGAGGTGCTCCCACCCTCAAGAAGGCTTTCTTTATCTCCAAGAAGGCTTTCTTTAAACTAGCTTTCTGAGTAACACCGTCATTGAGAAATAGGCAGAGAATGCATTAGCGAGCCACCTGCTGCAAAATGCTGCCAAACTCAGTTTAATTCAACAGCTAACCAAATGGTTAGCTTGGTTGGCCCTTGACATGCTAGTAGACTGGATGATATCTTATCACACATTGTTTATACATTGACAGATTGGTTTTGAAAAATGTTATTTCCTGCTTAGAACAACCACCAGAAAAGTCATTGAAAGTCCAAGTAATTTCGTATTGTGAAATGTTGAACAAATGACTCGTACTTAAGGGAGAAATTGCTTATTTGTGAAAATCACATCTACAAACCACTCCTTTAGTAGTTAATCTGAAAAACATGGACTTTGTTTCAGCAAACACATGAGAAAGGTCATGTATATATCTTTCTTGAAGAAGGTACGTAACTAATAATATTGCAGATAGGTAGGCATCAGAGAGAAAAATATACCCTTCTTTCATAGTTTTTCAATGCTGTTATTTGAATAGAGCATATTGAAAAGGAATGTGTAATCAAGCATTAAAATATCACATTTCGATTCACAAATTCTGTAAGAAAACTTAATGTATTGGCAAGCATATTGGTTATTTAGCTGCTGGTCAGATGGAAGTTCTGTTTAAAGTAATGAGAAACTCACTTATCACTGTATTTCCATCAGGTTCAAACACCTGCTAACCCAATCCATTTCCGACAGAACAGGGCTTATACCTGTATCTAGTCATGTAGGCATGGGAAGATTCTTGATTGCTACATTAATGACCAAAAAAAGTTGTTCTATGTTTCTTCCCATATCTACTTGTCACGATACTGAGGCTTTGAGGAATGTTTTGGCTTTCTTTCATATAGTCTGGATAAATTGTTATCTCCCTTTTTGAATTCAACTTTGACCATGGCAAATGGTATTCTCAAGGACATCACATTTCCTTGCTCTTTCCTTTTTTGTGGTGTTGAAGAAGCATGCTTCTCATTGTAGCAGGCACATGACCAGTTCTGACTTTACACAAAATACTCAAGGCATTGTCCATGCAGTTATTTGCTCTTGTAAGTTTTCTGCATGCTTTTTAGAAATCCTAATATGTCCACAGACACAAAAAATCTGACTTAAAATTCCACTTTTTAGACTAAGAAGTGTAAAAATGGAACAAAGGAAACTGAACGATCAAGCCAACACTTTAGTGGACCTGGCAAAGGTTAGTGGGCAATTACTGTTGTTTTAACATTCATCCCTTCAAAGTTAAGAGTTTGTAAGTGAAAATGTTAAAATGTTGTTAACAAGTCTGTTATTTGTAGAAAATGAAAATGTATGTCTGTTTTGTGGTAACACCTGCTGAATGAAACATCTTGTTTATGGCTCTGACTGAAGTTTGAATGCACTGCATTTTTTTTTTTTTTTTTTTTTGTACAATTGAAAAAGATTTCACAATTGAGAGGCTGATCCTGAGAGGTCCCGAGGTGACTTCAGTGGTCATGGTAAATGCTGAACTGTGAGTGGGCCATAGTAGTGTAGTGCTGTGTAGTAAAGAGATTTCTCATCTGATGGTAATGACTGTGCCATGAGGGACCATAATACACAGGCTCTCAGGCAGACTAGAACTAGAGGTTCTGGTTTTCTATTCCTTTTGTCTTACATAACAGTGACTTTGGACAAGTAAATTTAAGTCTGCATTTGTTTAAGATTTTATAATTAATAATAGCTGCCTACTTTTGCTGATATATTATAAGCCTTTATTAATCTTTTTAAGCCGTTTGAGATGAGTTAAAAGAGGCTATTCAGTTGCAAACTGCTTGTCTATTGTTGCTGGGATTTTTTATTAATATAAAATAATAACTAGAGAGCTAGAAGGCTGAGCTGATAGCATTCCAAGTTTCACATTAGACCTCCATATTTAACAGTTACTTTGATCTTAATTTGAGGCTATGTTAGAGGCATTAATGGGTTTTTCCTAAGGGTTTCTTGTAAACCTCTTCATGTACCTCAAAACCCTCCTCAATTTAAAGCGCATCAAAGCAAAGATTAAACTCTTCAGTGTTCATTCCCCTTTTGCTTTAGAGAACTACCTGACAATTTCAGTTACTGAAAACACATTTCCGTCTAATGCTCCTGACAACTGATAAGAACTTTTCCGATACTATTTAATGTAGACTACTTTGCTTTCAGGGGTTATGCTGGCATCTTGAAACAGGGGCCAAAAAAGTGGGTTATCAACACTCATCTCATACTGAAGTGCTTTACGCTTCAGGCAGTCAGTCATTCAATTAATTTTTATTCCCTTTGCATGGTTTATAAACTTCAACCAGTTTGTCTACTGAATTGCATCCAATTTTGACTCAAACGTTAAGCCGAATCTGAAGTCTCAGTCAATCAGAGGGAGGAATTCAGTCATTCTTTTTAACCAATTCCAAGTCTCTATGAAATAATACGTTTCAGATTACATTGTCTCTGACGTCTATGGCATATTAAAGTACACCCTATATACTTGCTTTAACCAAACACTGTTTTGTAGAGGGCCAATAGATTGAGGAATGCAGAAGTAGAGAAGCATACAATTGAGTTTTTACTCCTTGCACTATGTTTCAAAAACAATCCACCCAACTACTCTTACTATAGCCAGTCCAAGAAAACCTGGTCAGTTTAAGGAGAAAGCAAATGAACAACATTTGTGTTCTGCTTAAAAGAATGAAGATGTTTAAAACCAGAGGAAATACAGAAGAGTCAAGGATGGATCTTGTCTTTGGAGCCTTCGGTGTCCTGGTGGCTTACACAACTGACTATTCACAAAGCTTAGCATGGTCCATTTCTAAGTACCTGAACCTCCAAAAAAGGTCTGGTCTTTTGTCTAATTCATTTAGACCTTGACATCTGAAGTGCTACTCAAAATATATTACATTTCTGTTCAACAAATTTAGTAGAAAGTTTGTTCTGAATCTACAAGGAAAATTATTTCACAAGACTAGATATTATTATAATATTCATATCCTTTTTTTCTTTTAAGTGCAAAAGCATTTACAAACCCTTGTAGAGTTGTGCTGCTTGTTACAGTATTTGTAAGATCTCTCTAAACCTTTATTTACATCCTTCTACTTTCAGACTCAAAACATCATGTATGACATGATTTCTGACTTGAATGAAAGAAGTGAAGATTTTGAGAAGAGAATTGTTACTCTGGAAACTAAACTGGAAACTTTAATTGGAAGCATTCAAGCTCTCCCTGGACTGATTAGCCAGACAATCAGCCAGCAACAGAGGGATTTCCTCGAGGCTCAGATACAAAATTATGATAAGCATGTTGCCTACAGTGCTGAACGATCACGGTCTTTGTCAAGAAGAAGGAGATCATCCTCCACAGCGCCACCAACTTCATCAGAGAGTAGCTAGAAGAGAATAAGTTAACCACAAAAATAAAGACTTTTTGCCATCATATGGTCAATATTTTAGCTTTTATTGTAAAGCCCTATGGTTCTAACCAGTGTTATCTGGGTTCTGATGTCAGAATCCTGGAAACCTGAACACGTTTTAGGCCAAAATGAGTGAAAACTCTTCTTTTTTCCCCCCTCCTCCTCTCAGATGCACAGTGAATGCACCTATTATTGCTGTATTAGATTGTTCCTCCTGTAATTTCACTAACTTTTTATTCATGCACTTCAAACAAACTTTATTACTACAGTATATAACATAAAAAGATTAATTTCTGCACATAGTTGCTTGAGTACTTGGACTTAACAACTAAAAAGCTCACAATCAAAAGGCCTAATTTACAAACTTTTAAGAAACAAAATTGAAGCTTAATAATTATCTCTCAGTATGAAAACTAATTCTCTAAACTTTGCTTGCAGTGGAGGGGGAAAAAAAATCAATATTCATCTAACAGTGTGCTGTATATGTATAGTCATTTTAAAAGGTCACTGACAGCTTCGATTTCTGAAGTTATTAACTAAAAATATAGTTTATCCTAGAAAATAAGTCATGAAGTACGCTATGGGTTTTTTAAATCTCCTTAGGTCTTTTGTTTAACATGCATTTTTACGCACACACATAGATAATATATATACATATATACTTATGTATATAAAATTATTTATGCAATGCCCATGGCAAAGATCTTTTAAATTGACTATTTGTGAAGCTACTGGCATGCAAAAAGCACAGGTAAAGTCCTGTTCATTTATTCAAAGCCTCATAATTATGCCAGTTAAGTATGTCCAGACAGAAGCGTCACTTTCAAGCTGGGAGTCTCCCATTAATGCTGTTTGAGTTTTGAAAGTGTTAGGTTACTACTTTCTCCACTCCCTTTTTTGCATTTAAAGTTTCTGGAGTGAATGACTGACACACAGAGCTATAACATACACAATTGCATGATGGCAGCACAGTGTTCTGTATACATTATGTCTAGATAATCCCTATGATTTCTGCTATGCAGTCAAGCTTAGCAAGAAACTTTTAGCAATACTTCCAAAAACTTGTAAAAGAAACCTGCTGTAGACTGACGTTACAGCAGTGGGGATCTGTGGTACTTTATTTTCATGCACAAATAATGTCTTCTGCTTTCTTAAAAAAACCCACAAAGCATAGCGTACATGTTTATGAAAAAAGTTCTAGCTGACTTTTCTCCTGGGTTGTATTCCAGAGTAGCAAACCTAGGTAAGCTTAAGTGCTCAGCACACACAACTTGCATTCACAATTCCTAATTGTAAACAGGAAATTATCTGACTTTATGAAATATTTTATAGTACTTGCTATTTATGAAATATACTAGTCCCATCCCCTCCCCTTAATTTACAGACACGGGTGAGACTATAGCTAAGTATGACAAGTAGGCATGGCCGACTGCTTCCGAGGAATACTACATCTGCCTAGAAGTAACTAACGTGCACGTTGAAGGAAATGCCATTTGCTCCATGAGACATTGTGAATTCTGGTCAGGAGTGACAGGCAGAGAAGACAGTAATGCAGAAAGTCAGGGCAGAGCCATGCTGGACAAGACAGAACAGCTGTTCTCCCCAACACCCGGATTTGCCCAAGCCAAATACATAATCTGAAAAACAGCAGACACTTCAGGCCTAATTAAAATAAAGGGTCTGCTATTTTTGGGGATATAAATATGTAACTGATGAATATAAGTTACATCCAGAGGCATTGCTTGTTTATGGAAAGGTCAAGAGTCTTTCCAACACTTATGTCCTTGAGAAAGATGATGACTGCAGTATCTTTCCTCCTAGTGAACAGGACAGTTGCATGCCTTTGGAGTGCCTTCTTTACAGACTCTGGTATTTTGTGACTGGGAATAATAAGCAGTTTGCACAGTATTTGCAGTTCTGCTTTTGTTTTTGTGAAGTTCATTTCCAAAGGAAAAGATGTATATTATATAATGCTAATACTGTCCTAGCGCAGTCCTAAAATAGATGAGATTTTGAGTGGTCATGAGCCACTTGCTTTACACTGTTGGCGAGATTAGAAGTAGTGATTAATAATATTGGAATTTAATAATCAAGTTTCAGAATTATTTGTTGAAGGATTTGTTTGTCCATTCTCCCATTTTTTGTTTTTAATTTAGAATATTTTTCCTGTCATTGAATGTGAAATAAACTTGCTGCGGCTTGAATACATTCCTTTTTGTCCTGTTGGCTTGAACTAGCTCTTTCCTTGTTTACAATGTCTTTTTTATATTTGTAAGACCCGTTTTTTTTCTCCTCTGGGTTGTACAGCTGGGTTTTTAAAGAACTGTAGCTCCGCATTGAAAGTTCTTGCCAATCTGTCAGAGTTAAGTTTGAATTAAGATCTGGCTATACGCATTGAGCTGGTTTATTCTGATGTGAAAGAGCAGCTGTCATCTTTGACCTCTCAATTCTTCTACACAGTAGGACACAGGAGCCAGAACCTACTAACTTCTTGCAGCAGCTTTCTGCTAGCAGGGTTGTGAAATGTACTGGGATGATCTCCATCAGTAAGGGTCTATAACAATCTGCCAAATTCTTTTGGAATCCTGTCTTTATTTCTAAAGAAAGCAACAAATGATAACACCATGGAATACTCCAGTTCAATTTCTTAATTTACTGTAAAGCTCACCATGAATATTTTATCTGCATTTTGGTAGTGATGATTCTTTTCTTCTAATACCTGGTTTGAAAAGTACTTAAGTGCTACATGTGAATCTAGTCCAAGAAAAGACAGGTATAAAGTTATATTCAGGAGAGCACAAAGCAGTCCGGGTTTAATTTTCTTACTTCTTGATGCAATATTCCTTTTAATCTTTCCTTGTTTGAGTTTTGTAGTACCACAAATTCCATTGCTAATTTTTTATTTCCAAAACTTAAGCTTCTTCACCATGTTCAGCGTATGAGCTCACCAAAAGGAAAAAGTAGCAGTATGACAGATCTCTGAAAATGCTTGTGTAGTTAAATGTAGATTTTTCTTGAAAGATTGTTTGCAAACGACAAGGAATCTTTCTCAAAGCATGTGACATATTTACCATGTTACAGTTGAAAAGCTTTATGTACCTCACGCTTTAGTCTCACAGATAGAAAAATTCAGCTTTCAGTTGCTATTAAATTTCTCCTTTTCACTGCATTCCAGACACTGATTCCATTTATGAGTTACTTTGGAGTCGTGTTGCTAATCCCTGCATTTTTAATGACACTTAGCAAAGTTATCTTGCCTGTAAGGACTGAAACGTAAGATCACAAATAAGCTTATTCACCATGCTTAAAGCTAAGTAAATTGATTTAAATAGTATTTTTTAGTTACATTTAAGTTTTTGCAAGATCGAAATAATATGTTCAAACATAATATACTTGCAAATGTTCTGCAGTTCTTAATTCTGCAAATCATTATCTATTGTAAGTCTGTGGATCTTCCCAGGTAGACTTGTGCAACTCAGCCTTTCTTTGCCTCCTGCTGCTCCATAAAGATGGATCTGATATAGAAAGAGCTTCACTATCTAAAAGTTAAGCATGCATCTTAGGAGCTCTGAACACCTTCTGGAAGTCCATACCTTTCTTTGTGAGCTATTTAAAAACCATGGCTCCCCAGACTGATTTTGAATCACTGTCATCATTAAGAGGTCAAAGATAAGTGATAGGCATACTGTTTTATGCCATTCACTTTGTAAGACTCTTTCCGCATCAAATAGACATTGAAATTGTTACACTGCCTACTAAAAGCGTATCTAATCTTAAAAGAATAAATGGTTTATATATGAGTGTCTAATATTCAGAATAAAATCTATTACCCATAACAGTACTACAAATGGAAAGTGTCTGAAGGGTCTTTTCTCCTACCTAAAAGTTATGAAAAATTCTTAGTAAGTTTTATCTGCAGAGGGAAGATTTTCTGGTTAGTAAGTCTGTTCTCTCCATCTGCCAAATTTTTTTGTTGCTCATATTGTTTCTTTTTTTAAAGGACAGTCCTTAAAGTCCTTTTGCCTCTCAGAAAAATTATTAAGTGGTAAGAAGTGGCCGAATAAAGAGGGAAGGGAGGAAAGAGCTGACACTGCTGTGTCTCACTTTCAGAAACCTACCCCTGCATCAGTGTATCTGTGTGCTCAGGTGTAAGTGGTCACAAATTTCCTCCACCAGCACTCCTGGCTACCTAGGTACTAGCCAGCTGTAGCACGGGAAGGGCACTGCAGTATCAGTACAGTCCGGAGGTGGAGCTTACACACATTCAGAGCCAACCGTTTATGTGCGTGTAACTTTATGTATGGATGATAACAAAATTAACCTACATCTGTCAATCAGGGCTTATGGATCTGATCGTATACCTGTTCACACAAGTGCAGAGAAGACCGAGCTGTAATGTCTGTTAGCTTTTTTCTTCCAGACTTTCTAAGGAGTACCTGTAAGGATCTTTGCCCTCTCTGTGACTCAAAAAATAAAGAAAAAGAGAGGCTTAGGAGACACTTGGCAGTCAGGTGTGCTCAGGTATGGCTCTGAGCTGCCTGAGTGCCTCACCATCTGCATATCAACTCTGGTCCAGAAACCACGGGGTTTCGCTCACTCCAAAAGCCACAGGTTTCACTCACAGTAGCGTGAGCGAGCACAGCACCGAGCAAACAAGCCCCATCTCTCAAGAACAGATGATGCGTGGGATGATCACAATGAACAGGAGAGGACAGTTGTGTTAATTCATGCAACTCTGCTCAAGACTTATGGCTTAGCATTGCACCAAGCCTAATGCAGATGCTTGGCTTCCTGCCAGGAATTGCTTGCACCTGGGCAGTATGGCACATGGATGGAGCAGGTGCTGGATAGTCTGGGCTAGAGTGTGTAGACGTGCTCTGAGAAAGCTACAATGGAGGCAGTTGCCAGAATCAACATGACCATACTGCTGTATATTAGTCTTTATTACAGTGATACAGTTAAAGCTCCACCAGGGCAGTAATTTTCAGGGATTTTTATGAAGAAGAGTCTCCTGCAGAGGACTGCAAGTGTTTCTGCGTGATGGAGGGTATGCAACAGAGCTGCAGTGCAAGAAAAACCATAAGCCACAAACATGAACCTGTTGCAATCTAGCATGGCAAGTAGCCAAATCAGATGGAGAAGTGAAGTGTAAAATGCTTTATGCTGACTTCCCTTGCATTCAGATTCACTTTAAGCCATTAGGATCTTTAAATATTTAGAAGAACGTAGTCTGTTTTCAATGACACGTGAAGCAAGCAACAAGCTTTTAGTTAGAGGTTCTACTTTAAAATTGCTGCTCTGACCTCTCGTTGCCTTCCAAACCTGCATTTCCAAATATCATGAGTCTAAGGAGGAGCCATGTGTTCTGCTATGTGGTTACAACAAAGCAGGTCTCTGAGTGGGAG